GCGAAGAAGTGTTCTAGGATGTGAGACTTCTAATGGTCAATTCTGGAGAGTCTGGGGCAAATCTGAATGAGTTGGTCCCCCTCCCCGACACATGTAGTCTGGGTTCTGTAGCTCCACCCTTTTCATTTTTTAAGATTGTCATATTAGAATGCGCAGCTACCGGTACTATCTTATTTTCATAAAAATAATCAGTACTGCAGAGAGAAATTTTTATATTACAAATCTAGGGGCTCAATAGATGTTTGTTCAGTTATATAATGACAGGATATTTAAAAATAATTCATAGACATTTTTGAAAATATGTAAGTAATTTCAAATGTTTTATTGCTATCCCCCTAAAATTACCCAAAATTCCATTTGCATGGTTTTATTCATATGCTAGTTCCTTAGAGGTGCTTGCTTTATATATTCTGATTAAGAAGCATTTTACAATATTAGAGTGTTTTACTTCAGTTATATTTTCAACTTACAACTTTTATTAGTTTAATTAGTCTACATGTTTTTCAGTTTATCGATAAGGAGTGAGAAAAATGAGGAAATGAGGCAGTTTAATGTGATTTACACAAAGCACCATCCTAGAAGGCATAGCAGTTTTAAATTAGTTGTATCTTTTTTTGCAAACCATATAATTCTAATTGTGTTTCTAATGATGCCATCCTACTACATGAATTACTCTGAAATAAAACAAAAATCTGTAGTATTTTTTAGCTAAGATTTCGTTTTTGACCTGTTTAAGCAAAAACGAAAATAAATCAGCATCATTTAATTGGAAAGCAGACATAAAATATTATAAAAAAAATATATATATATATATGCATATGTGCATATATACATGTAGTATGTGTATAAAATGAGACAGAGAAGAAGAGGAAAATGCAAGAAAGAGTGACAATAAAAATAGAAATGGTTGAAATTAGTCACTGAGACTTAAAATTGGAGGACTCAAATGAGATTTTTGGGAAAAGGTAGTATAATGACTTCTGTGGGGAGGTTCATTCAATAGACATTTTAAAAACACTCACTCCATGCCAGGCTCAGACCTGGAACCAGGATACTCAGAAGAATAAGATATAACTTGCTGTTAGGTAGTTCACTGTCTAGTTGGGGGAATGGACTTATACATTATAACTTGTAACACAGTAAAATAAAAGCAATAACAAAATGAAAACAAGGTTCAGTGCAGGGGTAGTATGTATGTGTGGGAGAGAGTGGTGCTGAAGGAGGCTTCCTGCAGGATTTTATGCTTCAGTTGAGTCTTGATGGACAGGTAGGATGTGGTGGTGGGCACCGGTTGGAAGGGAAGTGAGGTGGTGGCAGAAGGACATCCCAGGAGCTTAAATGCTCAGAGGCATGAAATAGAATGAACACCAACAGTCTTTTCATAGATGTTTGTTTATGGGATGTACGAGTCATATGGGGAGCTGCAAATACGTCAAAGTATGGTTGCAACAGAGACCAGATGATCAAGGGTTTTGCATGGACTTTATTGTAGAAGTGTGATGTCATGAGAATTGTATGCTAGCAGTTCAGAAGAAAGGATGGCGGAAAAAGTACCAGAGGCTGAGACAATAATTGGGAGGCCATAGTTCAGATCAGGAAAAGTGAGAAGGTGAAGTGAGGCAGTGGCAATGCAGAGAGGGTTGGGGTAGGTAATTTAAGCAGTAGGTGTCATAAATAGCTTGCTGTCTGGGTTGATGTGAGGATACGAGGGAAAAAGAGGCCTTTGAAGGTGTAGTCTCACCCAGAGTTGTGTAAAATGGAACATAAGATGGAAAGGAAATGTGCTCAGAATTTTTTTTCACTGGTAGGAGTCTAATCAAAAATGACTGGAGGCCAAGTAATGCTTTAAGGCAGTAGTTTCAAATTTTTTAGTCTTGGGTCTTTGTACACTGTTCTATTTAGGACCCCAAGGAGTTTTGATTATGTGGATTATAATTATTGATATGTATTCTGTTAAGATTTACTGTATTAAAAGCTGAAAAACTTAAAAAATATTTGTTTAGTAATTTATTTAAAGATAATAATAACAAACCGAGTACATGTTAACACAAATAACATACTACTTATTATGAAAAATAACTATATTTTCCATTAAGTCACCTAATGGGACAAGGTTAAAATGCATTTTTTAGACAATGGCTTATGTCTTGTTTATAGAGTGATCCTCAAGGGCAAATGATGTTGCAGAAGAAAAAGTTATGAGTTAAAAGCCAGAGGCAAAGTTTATGAAAAACAAAATGGGGTGATTATGTACTTAATAGGGAGGAAAAGATTAAACTAAACAAGATCCTTGGAGAAGATCTAGAGATAAATATTGCCCTTCAGTATCAATAAAGGGAAATTTAGGTGTCATGTATTTTTTTAACTATAAAAAATTTTTGAAATTACAGAAAAGTAGAGAATAGTATAGCAAACAACCATATGCTCACCACTTAATTTAACAGTTGTTAATATTTTATTGTATTTGCTTCCTCTTTTTTGTGTGTGGAGAGATTTTAAACTAGATTAAAAACATCATGACATTTTATTCCTAAATAAGGTAGTGTCATTGTAAAAATGTTCAAACATGTAGAAAATTTTATAAGAGTTTATTTGAGCCAAGCTGACGACATGCCCGGAAGCAAGCTCTCAGTGAATTGAGAAAATGCTCCCAAGAATGAGTTTTGCAGTCCTTTTTAATGCATTTGGAATCAAAGGAGGGAACATAAGGAAGATTACATGAAATATATTGTTGGTAGATTAAGGAGGTGGGGGCAAGAAAAGTGGGGAAATCTCTATGATTGCATAAAAAGTAAAATGAGGAGACATTTCTTTTATATTGCTGGGTACAAGATAGGTAACATTTAACAGTCATAGTAAATAGAGATGGTGTATAGGCAACAAGATCATGTGCTCTCTTGAGGGTGGTTATGCCTCTGAGGGTCCTGGAAAAGAGTATTATTTGTGACGTTTCAAAGACGTGTTAACCTGGATGCACAAGAAAAATGGACAGGGCTTGCTTAAGGCAAAGATAAACCTTTTACCGAAGAAGCTAGAAGTCTAGGGTGTGACTACCCACCATAACCTGCCCAATTATGAATTTATGATCATGTGATTTTACTTTCAGTCACTAAGCTTGTTAGATTTATTACATAGCTCCTTTTTCATTCACAGTAGTTTGTATTTCTAAAAGATAAAAACTTACAAATATGCATTTTACTGTGATGTGATGATGTGAGGACAACTGAGGACCTGCCCAAAGTCCTTTGTTTTGCAGATTACAGTGTGCAAACTAGGTTCTCTAGCAAAATAGCTTGGGATGGTGAAGGGGATTTTCTAAAATTGTTTAGAGGACTTAGAGGAGGAACAACACTAAGCCGAGGGCAAGAATTTGGATGAGAGACAGAGACAGCAAATGGTCACATTTGATCATTGCATTGTCAGAAAAGTCATGAACGCATGTTTGTGACAGATGGCACTAGTTCATTTTTGGAAGTACTAGAGCCATTTGCATCTATGTTATTGCTATGTCATTTGACAGCTGACAGTTCTAGCTTTATTCTAAAAAAAATTTAGCGATTTGGTTTAGTTTTGGAGATTTTACAAGTTGAAGATGGAAGATTAAACTGTGCATTTTTGCCACATTTTACTGTTTTACTTCCATACGGGAAGAATGTGTGTCAAGCTTGTGAAAAGTTGCATAAAGTTTACCATGACAATGCTCTACAAGAAAGTCAGTGACAACGATGGTTCACGAAGTTCCATGCTGGTGATTTTGACCTCAACAACACTCCTCAGTCAGGGAGGCCCATCGATGTTGATGAAGACAAAATAAAGTCATTGATCGAGTCAAACCCATGTTACATGACATGAGAGATTGCAGAAACATTGAACATTCATCATTCAAGCGTTCACGACCACCTGAAGAAGCTGGGATACATAAGCAAGCTCGATATTTGGGTTCTGCATGAACTTAAAGAAGTTCATTTGATGGCGCATATAAACATTTGCAATATGCTCATTAAATGTGAGGAAAATTATCCTTTTTTGAAGCGACTGATAACGGTTTACAACAATGTGATGTGCAAATGGTCTTGGTCCCAACCTCAAACAACATTGAAAGCAGACATTCATCAGAGGAAGGTTATGCTCTCAGTGTGGTGGGATTTTAAAGGTGTCATGTTTTTCGTGCTCCTACCAAGGAGCCAAACAATCAATTTGAATGTGTACTGTCAGCAGTTGGACAGCTTGAACGAATCCATCATCCAGAAATGTCCAGAGCTTGTTAATTGTAAAGGAGTTGTGTTCCATCACGACAACGTTAGACCACACACAAGTTTGATCACCCGTCAAAAATGACTAGAGCTTGGATGGGATGTGTTGCCACACCCACCATACTCACCTGACCTTGCGCCATCAGACTTCCACTTGTTTTGCTCTCTTCAAAACTCCTTGCGTGGTATAACATTCAATTCAGATGAGGCTATAAATCAACACCTTGTTCAATTTTTCACAAATAAAGACAGGTCCTTCTAAGAACGAGGAATTATGAAGCTCACTGAAAGATGGCAAAAGGTTATCGAACAAAACAGGCAAGATATCATTGATTGATCTTTGTTCTTTATATAAATAAGTGATCTTTGAAAAACATAGACAAAATACGTCATGACTTTTCTGACAACCCAATAAATTTTGCTGGTTGGTATGTGATTTAACCATTTTCTCTCTTCTCGTAATGTCTTAATTTAAATCTGCATTATTCATTTAGGCTTTAGAAATTAGATTTTTTCTAACTTGACCTTGACCTTAGGGTGGGTATGAAGTGAAAACAGCCTGCCCAAATGTTTCCATTGGAGCTATACACCTAACATTGAAGGGATCTAGGAATCCATATTCTGAAGTATTTTAGACAGTTAGTAACAGAATGTCCTATTGGAGTTATATTTCTTTTTTTCTTTTTTTTTTTTTGCTTTGAAGTAATATAGTCTGTCTTAATTTATGTAATATCTTCTTATGTTTAGGTCTCGGATGTGGTTTATTATACACTGCAACAGTGACCATTACATGCCAATATTTTGACAGCCGCCGAGGCCTTGCACTTGGACTGATTTCAACAGGTACATTTTCAAAATAAGTACAGTATTGTCATTATTCTGCCTTCTTATCAAAGTTAAAGGTTACCAAGCATAGATATGTTTAACCGGCAACTCCCCAGCTACCATTCAGGTAGCACCATTTTTTTTTATTCTAGTCCTAGTAGGAAATTTTCTTTTCCACCATAAATATGATATAGTTTCAGAAAAACTTAAGATACATATATGAAAAATCTGGGGCATTATATGTCCGATATAATATAGGAAAAGAAAGTTTATGGGCCCCCTAAATTGAGAGTTCACATGCTGGTGAGAACCTTGCTGAAAGAAGCTGAGAACACATAAATCACCTTATTCCTTGAGAAAGATCAGAGAAATGGAAGGAAAATGGATACCCCTGGGGCCACTGTCAGAAAAACTGATGCTGATAGTTCTCGACCTCCATTTATTGTGGAATTTACAATTTCCACAAAGAAGTAGAAAGGACTGATTTACGAATACATCTCACTGACCTATGTCTAGCCAAACGACAGGCTGTCTACTCTTGGTGTTCCTTTAATAATCAAGAGATGACCACTGAGGTGGGGGGAGGAAAATGTTAATATAAAAGTTTCTGGACTGCCTCTGGTATTTTAAAGTGGTGTTTCACTTTTCAGATGGATTTTTTTCTAAGCTGTGCATGGAACTTATCAAAATTTCTGTTGCCAGTATTTTATGAGTTTGCTTAGGAGATAAACCTGCAAAGCTTACTAAACTTTGTAAGTTTACATATGCTGCTTGTTAATGGGTTGGTATTGCTGGGAAATCAGGCTTGCAGATAAGCTGAATAACTTTAGTCATTCTCTGAGAACCGGATCCCAATTAATTTTTTGTTCCTGAGGCCAACCCAGTGGTAACAAAATGATTGCACATCGAATTACATGTAGCTAGATATTTACTCTGCGTGGTTTATAGAAGCATTGCCAGGAGAGAGATTTGAATCATGGTGTAGGAGGAGATAGGGCCAGGATCTGAGAACATGGCTATGGCAGAACTGGGGGAAGAAATAGAAAAAACAAGATGGAGGATCCAGGGCAGTTGGAATGCAGTTTCAAGAACCTGACAGGATCTCCCACAAGTGGGGGAGGGAGTGTGGCAGTAGGCATGACAGCTTAAAGGACAATAGATCTTACCTATACTGTGTATATTTTTTGTAGAGGCACTATAACATAGCAACAAGCATAAATCATGGAGGCAGACCACCTGGTTTTGTATCCTGCCTGTGTTACCCACTGTTTGTTGATGGGCAAGTTAGTTAACTGTTATGCCTCCATTTTCTGAACTGTAAAATGGGAATAAAATAGGACTTATCATATCAGGTTATTGGGAATATTAAAGGAGTTATTGTGTGAGGCACATGGCAAGGGCCCTAGAAGTATTAGCCATTATAATTATGACCTAGATTTCCCTGAATGTCCAAATTTATGTGTGCTGAAGACATAAAAAATTGTATGTTGAGAGAGCTGCTCTTGCTTTTCACTCATTCTAGAGAGAAGGGCACAAGGGCACACAGCATCAACCATGGAGTTACTATGGACAGTCAAGATTTGGCAGAATTAAGGAGTTTTCAGTTTCAACTCATGGGGGGACTAGGTGAGGCAAAACTAGGGAGAAGCATGACTGTACCGTCTTAGTCTGTTAAAGGTTGCTATAACAAAAGACCACAGACTGGGTGGCTTATAAACAACAAAAATTTATTTCTCACTGCTCTGGAGCCTGAACTTCCAAGACCAGGATGCCAGCATGGTCAGGCTCTGGTGAGAGCCCTCTTCCGGGTTCCAGACTGCCATCTTTTCACTGTGTCCTCACATGGCAGAAGGGGAGAGCGAGCCTTCCGGGGGGTCTCCTTTATAAGGGTACTAATCCCATTCATGCCCTTATGACATAATCACCTCCTAAAGGCCACATCTCCTATACCATCACCTTGGGGGTTAGGTTGCAGTGTATGAATTTGGGGGGTACACAGATCTTCAGTCTGTAGCATTCACCTTCAGTGAAAGAGATGACAAGCAAAAAAAAAAAAAAACGGACAGAAATTTTTAAAAACTGAAAAGAAGCCATCAAGATCCTTGACATTTTGTGACCTAGTTGAAAGAAAGGAACATGGGCATGAAACAAAGGTTTTGGAGTCGCAGTCATCCTCTGTGGTGAACAGGGGTCAGTAAACTAATGCCCACGGGCCAAATCTAATCTACTGCCTGTTTTTGGACAGCTCACAAGCTAAAAATGATTTTTGCATTTTTGCATAGCTTAAAAAACTCAAAAGAAAAATATTTCATGGCATGTGAAAATTATGTGAAATTCACATTTCAGTGTCCATAAATAAAATTGTATTGGAACCCAACCATGCTATTCCTTTTACAGTCTTTCTCTGACTGCATTTGTGCTTCAAGGACAGAGTTGAGCATTTGCAACAGAGATCATATGGCCCACAGTGCCTTAAATACTTATTCTCTGGTCTTTTACAGAAAAAGTTTATTGACCCCTGGCATTAATGAGTTAAAGCATGGGTATATCTCTCATTGTTTCAGATTCCCTGAACATCAATTAATATTTTCCCTCTTTGTGATATTGTACAATTTAGACATACATGGAAACATGATGAGTGCTTTATTTCAGTTATCCCTGATGATTTTTAAATTAGGATTTTCTTTTTAAAAACTAAAAATTATAGTTTTTCAGTTTACACAGTTCCACAAGAAAGCTCCGAATGACTCTTTGTTGCTCTGAAAGAATTCCTGCAACTTTCTAAGCTGTGGCTGCGTTCTTGTCGGAGATAGGCTGAGGAAACTAGTGTCTAAGGTATAATTTGACTTTGCTGCCCTGTCAGATACTTAGCATATCATAGGTATTCAATAAATTTCGGATGAATTGACTTACTATATTTCCCTTATATTTCATGATGTTGAGAGCTAAACTGGGTTGGTGAGCAATGGAGAGGTTGTTTATTTTTCTCAATTAAAGGTCAACATATAGAACTTACAAAACACCAAGAGTATTTTTAAGTATCTGATGGTATGGTACTTCGTTAGAATCTATACAAAGAAATGGAGTTAGACAAAAATGGGAATTAACAGTGAATGAATACTAATGCAGTGCTGAAGTGCATGAAAAGGTCCTATTTTGAATCCTTTCAGTTTTCTGAAGTGCCTTTGAACTTTCAAATTATGTACCAGTTTTAAAAGATAAGGGAAGAATTAAATTTGTCTACTATCAATATTATTACTTTTCAATAGTCAGCGAAGAGACACTTACTCTCTTAGTAGCCACAAAAAGATACTATTTTAGCTACCATTACATTAATATGAGCTGTTAATTAACAATTACATACAAAGATTTTTTTGGGGGGGGATTAAAAAGTTAACTTTTAAAATGTTAGAAAGAGACAACCATGGTCCCCCCCAAAAAAATGTTTTCTTACACATCTAAGACAGGGCCATTTGGTTATATGTAAGAATTTTTGATAAGGTGAGTTTTTACTGCAAGCATGGCATCCTGTTGGGGTTATGACGTAATTTGGTACAGATCCTTTTAAAATTATGATCAACCTATTTATGTTTTGTTGTTGTTGTTGTTAACAGATCCATTTATTTCTCTCCTGCTTTTACATGTAGCTTTTTCAATGGTATTTATATTTTAAAATACTCAGTTTTAAAAATCAGAACTGTATTAGAACACTGCAAATTAATTGGGTTGATATAACTTGCTATTCCAGTGTGTTTAGTGTGATCTATGCTAAAAGCTGGAGAATCTGCAGTGTGTTGCATGGATGTGCAAATCAGGCATACTTTGTAATTTAAATGCCCTATCAAATTCCAGTTTACTCTTTTCATAGTTTAGGAATATGAATAGTTTTTTCTGGTGATTCAGCAATGGATTTGCACTATCACACCATTAATTTATTCTCCCATAAAAATTAAAATATATTCTTCTTCTCAAAAAATCAAATATAAAAATTGGCTTTTGCAAAGGGGATAAATAAATATATAGCATATAAGTGCAAAAAATAGCAGTTGCGTAAGGTATTTGTTAAGAATATGGGCTCCAGGAGTCAGATTGTAACTCCTACTTACACCATTTACAGCTTTGTGGTCTATGGTAAATTTCTCAACCTTGCTAGCTAGCCCTAGGTCACTTCATGTGTAGGTTGGGAGTACTAATAGGACCTACACAATGTGATCATTATACGAATTAAGATAATGCAATGTAAAGTGCTTAACACAGTGTCTGAACTACAAATGCTAACTCTTAAATAGTCTATCAGTTTTGATGTTATTGTTGTTATTATCATTATCTTTAATAGTCTTGCAATGATTTTCGTATGAAGGCATGCACGAGCAGTGTAAAAATGAAATTGAATTATGATAACGCTCGTCCTGAAAGTCCTGCAGTCTACGAGATTAAGATTGAACAGCTCCTGTTTCCTTTTTAGGTTCAAGTGTTGGACTTTTTATATATGCTGCTCTGCAGAGACTACTGATTGAGTTCTATGGACTGGATGGGTGCTTGCTGATTGTGGGTGCTTTAGCTTTAAATATATTAGCCTGTGGCAGTCTGATGAGACCCCTCCAGTCCTCTGAAGGCCCTTTGCCTGAAAAAACAGCTCTGGAAAATGTACCTGATAGATACTCCATTTACAATGACAAAGAAAAGAACCTAGAAGAAAACGTACACATTCTTGAAAAGAGCTATGGTAGTGAGGAAACACACAAGAGCACGTTAGCCAATGGTGACTGGAAACGGGAAAATCTACTTCATAAAAACCCAACAACAATGGCACACACAAAAGAGACTGAAACGTACAAAAAGAAAGTGGCAGAACAGACATATTTTTGCAAACAGCTCGCTAAGAGGAAGTGGCAATTGTATAAAAACTACTGTGGAGAAACTATGGCTCTTTTCAAAAACAAAGTATTTTCAGCACTCTTCATCGCTATCTTTCTTTTTGACATCGGAGGGTTTCCACCTTCGTTACTTATGGAAGATGTAGCAAGAAGTTCAAATGTGAAAGACGAAGAGTTTGTTATGCCTCTTATTTCCATTATTGGCATTATGACAGCAGTTGGTAAACTCATTTTAGGGATACTGGCTGACTTCAAGTGGATTAATACTTTATATCTTTACATAGCTACCTTAATACTCACGGGCCTGGCCTTGTGTGCAATTCCATTTGCCAAAAGTTATGTCACGTTGGCAATACTTTCTGCGATCCTAGGGTTTCTTACCGGTAATTGGTCCATCTTCCCGTATGTGACCACGAAGACTGTGGGAATTGAAAAGTTAGCCCATGCCTATGGGATATTAATGTTCTTTGCTGGACTTGGAAATAGCCTTGGACCACCAATTATTGGTAAGATATTTATTTTAAAGTCAACCCGTTTTACTGTTCTTCTTTGTGACATCTCCAGATACAAAAATTCAGACTATAGTAATAGCACAGGTTTGCACAAAATAAATCTGCATGGAATGTCTCATGATAATGATTTCTTCAAAGTCACTTTGATATAGTTGAAAAGGCCAATAGTCTTGCTCAGGGATTTGTGTTTATTCTTTATTTGGGAGACATCCCCAAGCCTGCTTATTCTTGTCCAAATATCTGAGAAACCCTCCTCTTCTAAATCCCAGTAGGCCACTTGGGGAGTAGATGTAATATAGATCCTAATTCTAACTGCATAGAAAATTGAGGAAATTAGAGTATGGGCTTCATATTCATATGATTTCTATTAAACTCACTTTTTCCTTACTCTCTTTACAGGTTGGTTTTATGACTGGACCCAGACCTATGACATTGCATTTTATTTTAGTGGCTTCTGTGTCCTGCTGGGAGGTTTTATTCTGCTGCTGGCAGCCTTACCCTCCTGGGAAACATGCAACAAGCAACTCCCCAAGCCAGCTCCAACAACCTTTCTGTACAAAGTTGCCTCAAATGTTTAGAGGAATATTGGAAGGCAGCACAGGACTGTTGTTTCATAGCAAAATTTCACTGTGGCTGACTCTGAATGAATTTAAAAACAAAAACAAAAACATATCCTATTCTCTATCTCCTGTATTTTTGTTTCCTCTTCCCAAGAAATGAGACAATTCTGGATGTTATTATTCATGAGTTCTTGACATTGTGAAAATTTTGGCCAGACTCAAAAGACTTTCTCTGTGTAAAGAAATAATTTATCTGCAGACCATTAGTTCCATTGCAAGGGGACTCTTGTGTTTTAAAACTGCAAGCAGCATGACAAGATATATGTGAAGACCACTAGGGACTAAACCACTCTCTTCTCTATGTTTAACCAGTAAATAGAAGACTTTGAGCCAGTCAGGAAATGAAAGTAGTTACTAAAACAGCATTAAGAATTGCAGTGGAGCAAATTGACTGTTAAAAAAAAAGACAGTTTATATTATAGTCACCAGTTTTCATTATCCTATTTTATTTACCTGATGAAGCACCCGCATGTTTGGTGCCCACTGAGCATAAATTGCTTCAGTTCCTAAGGTATTTGCTGAGATACGGGCAATCTCCAAGCAGAGGAGTAGTCACCGGTAGCCTTTCTTCATGGTTGGCTTCTACAGTCTGGCTCGCTTTTTGTTTGTCAGCATCCATTCAGCTGGTGTTTCCCAGGAAGTGCTGATTTTACCTGTTTCCAAATTGGAAAAGCATATTTAAACCATTCCATTCTGGCAAATGGGAAACATCCATTTGCTTCGGGCACAGTGGGGATGAATTGCAAGTCCTTACATATCTTCTCAATTTATTTGCTACTATCCAATTTTGCCACTATCACATGTTAATTCAAGGGCAGAACTAAAAAGTGTGTGTGTGTGTTTGTGTGCGCGCGCGTGTGATGTGCTGAGTCTGTGAGGGACATGGGAAAGGAAAAAGGCAATAAGAAGTTGATACCCTGATTTAACTTCATTCACTCTTAAGAAAAATGTTCTAGGAAGAAATCAATGTTTCATAGATGGACATTTTTCTTAAAAAATTTTTTAAAACTCTGGTATGCATCAGAATCCGCTGTAGATCCTTTTCAAAATACAGCTGCCTGAGTACCCCTCTCAGGGACTAATCCTGTAGGCCTGGGCTGTGGGCCAAGGATCTGTATTTTTAACGAACTCTTCAAGTGATTCTGATAACACCGTCTGGGTTGACAATGAATGTTATTAAGACTGGTAACACGGAAACATTTTTTCTCTTAAAAAAAAAAACAAAACAAAACAATAAACCACTGAGCTGGTGAGTTTTTATAAAAAGGCAAGTGTGGTTCTTTAAATAGGAGGCACTCTCCCCATTGTGCCAAAATTGTCTTTTCATTTCTTTTGAAATATGTAAGATTATTTCATACTTCTATGTTGCCTTTCTTCAAAGGCACCTGAAGCACTTTATAAGCATGAATCACCACAACACCTCATGGAGGTGGTTAAATAGGGCTTTTCTATGCAGTAAACCTGGAGTAGAGGGAATTTCATAACTGACTTAACCCTATTCAATAATGAAATAATGGGGCTCCAAAGTGCCTTGGACTTCTCTGCTCCATACTCAGACTTCTGGAAAGTTTACTGTACCTCATTTTTTAGTGACTGTCAAGGTTAGTAAATCAAAAGAGTGACATTTTAAAAAATTAAATGTTTTTGTGTTGAAAGTTCCTTCTTGCTGAGATGATATTCAGGAAATTTGATAACCTGAAAAAGTTTAATTTTTATGACATACCCACATTCATCAATGTTGATAATTGTCCAAATGCATCTTCACTATGTCTACTAATATCATCCAATATGTGCATTATCCATTGTCTAGGGAATGAATTTTAAGATACAATAAAATATTTTTGTTTGTTTTGCATCAGTTTGGTTGCTTTTTCCCTTCTCCCCCTCTCCACCCCTAAATTATATACAGGGACATTTCACTTGAATGTGAAAACATAAATTACCAGATGTCCGCTTCAGACCCCAGAATTTGGTGATTGGACATCAGCATATTGAAAAGTCAATTTGCTAAATTATTTTGACCATTGCTTTCCAAAAAGCTAATATGTCAGTCCTACAGAATGCTTTTGAAGAAAAGGGAACAGATTCCTCTATAAGATTCTTAATGATGACCTTGCCAATCTTTAATGGAATTCTTAATATGTTCCAAGTACATTATATTATTTATCCCTCATAATTGCCCTGTGAGATGGGAATTATGATTCTCATTGTATGGTAAAAAATATCATTATCATGGTATGGACAACTATATAAGTAATTTCCAAAAGCACAATGAGAAAGGTTTCTAGTAAACCCTTTGATTTCTTACATGACTAGGAAACAAAGCCTAGTTGGGAGGGTTGATATCAAAGCCAACCTTTTAGTGGATAGAGATGTCATATTTATGTAAATAATTATTCATGACTCACTCATTTCCTAGGAATTAGCATTTAAAAAACACACTTAATGAAATTATACTGACTAGAATATAATATTTCTTTTGTGATTCAAAAAATATTTCTTGACATTCCAAGTGCCTGGGACTGAGCTGGGGGAAGGTGTGAAGTAAGAGTTTGACACTTCCTCCCTCCTCCTTTCAGTCTCCTGTTTCCTTCTCTCTCTCTCTCTCTCTCTCTCCTCCTAGGAGCCAGTTGGTGATCTAATTTTCTCTAGGGCAACCATGGCATCAGGGGAAAAGATTCAGCCATCAACTTTTAAAGGCCCCAAGAGGAACAATTCCCAAGAATCAGGAGTTCCAGCACTGAGAGGTCATGACCGAATGGCATGTCAGTTGTGATGCGCTGGCTGGAAAGTCCCGTGACCTCAGAAAGCCTCAACTTCTAGCAATCAATATAGGAGTATCTTAACTCAGGATGTTCTAGGAAATATAGAAGAGCTCTATTTTTAAGGAAAGAATGTCTCATTTCTTTTACTTAGAAGGAGTATTATATTGAACATGTAAAATACACAACACAATAGCAATGCCAAACAATTTCTTCTTCATAACTAACAATCTCAGGGCCTTTTGCTCTACAGTCAATTGTGTCTGAAGGAAGCTAATTAATAAGATGTCACTTTGAGTAACGCGTTTAACCACAACTGGTGACACTGAACAGAAATCTATGAATACAGAGATAATATTTGGAGATGCAATATGCATGCTTGTTAAGGCTGTGATTCCTGGGTTTGAATTCTAGCCAGTTCCTGTGGCTGGGTGATTGTGAGCCAATTATTTAGCCTCATTTGTCAAACATGTCAGGGGCATTGTGGGAATTACATAAGATAACCCATATAGATGCCTGGTACATGTTCAGTAAATATCAGCTGTTATTATTTTTGTTATTACTCTTTATTGTGTGGCTTCTCAGTGTCTGAGGGAGGGACCAAGTGCTCCTGGGCACAGGTGTGGGGTAACTATTTGCACTGAAGGGCCTCATTTAGAAGAAGAATAATGAGCCTCTTTTGTTGCTAACTTGTACAACTGTCACAGCTCTTGCCTTCCCCCAAACATGTTCTTGTCAAAATCTGTCATCTTTAGGGATCCATGACTCAGCACATTTTTTCTGGAATTGCCATTCAGAAGTTCTGACATAAAACAAAACAAAACAAAACATGCTGTTCTTCCACAAATCAAATAGTATTCACTTTGTAAATTGAATTGCTATGGTAATTTCAATTTTCTTTTTTTTTCCTTAATAACTCATCATCCGAGCTGCTTGGAAGGTGGGCCTGAAATTGGGCAGAAAGCAAAATGCTCTCATTTGTTTATGGAGCACTAATTGGGTTCAGCTCAGGGCCCTTACCTCCCTGCCGTCCCAGTATACCTTTGAGATTTACTCTGGAGGGAGTGCAATTTCTTGCCAGGTCTTCTGGAATTCTATTCCTAGCAGGTCTCAGTGACATTAGTTGCTTTTTACCACATGCATTCCTTGTCCTAAAGAGTCATGTATTTTCTCACTTTGCAAAAATTAAAAAATATATACATTAAAGAATATTTTATGAGTTTTTTTCTGAGTGATGGACTAAAACCTTTGGTAAAGAGCATGTTTTCAATAACGAATAATTAACTATGGTCAAGGTGCTGTCCTGCTATGGGTCACCTTAAAACTACATAGCCACAGAGATAGGCCTGTTTTTTCTTCCTGGAAAAGTTCCTACTGTGATAAGTCAAGTTGTTATTCCTCCCACTTACTCATAGATCTGAAAACTCCTGAACATCGACAGTTTTAATGGGGGCATTTCTAAGAGTAGCCCAAATGACTCTAGGGCAGTGGTTCTCAACCTTTCTAATGCCGCGACCCCTTAATACAGTTCCTCATGTTGTGGTGACCCCCAACCATAAAATTATTTTCGTTGCTACTATATAACTGTAATTTTGCTACTGTTATGAATTGTAATGTAAATATGTTTTTGTTTTCTGATGGTCTTAGACGACCCCTGTGAAAAGGTAGTTCAACCTCCAAAGGGGTCACGACCCACAGGTTGAGAACCGCTGCTCTAGGACCTTAACAACAAAGGATACCAGGTGGGACTGGTTATATCAACCTCTAAAAGGTGATGAGCCCTGGTCAGCAACTCATTTGTATATAGTCTCGAAGCCTGCTGAGAGGGTGCCATTTTGAGAACTCCTGAGCAGAATCTCCTCTTGATGATGGAAACGTATCTGCCTGAAGGTGAAGGAGAGGTCGGTGGAAGAATCATTTGAGTCCAATGAGAGTGCAGTGCTACACACAGAGTCAGGATGAACTCAGGTACCTGGACAGAACTGTAGAGTATTGGTTCTCCAATGAAATGAGATAATATATGGGACAGCCCTAGAGTAAAAAACGACTGTAATTTCCAAGGGGCATTTTAGCAATCACTAGCTGAGAAGTATAAGCAGGGACTAGAGCTGTGCCTGTACTGTGTTCTCAAAACCCTGGGAAGTGGTACAAACCAAGGACAGGTAACAGCAGGAGCATCAAGGAACCCTAGAAGCCAGCTCTGATGGAACTGGGAATAGATGTCCCAAAGAAACCTGTGGACAGAAAAGGAGTTCTATGGAAAGTAACTTCACAGGGTGATCTGATCATAGATTACTAACTGAACAGATCATGGAAGGTAGTCATGCCCTAGACATAGAAATTTTTAGTATAAGGTTGATCTTTGCCTTGAGCAAGCCCTGTACATTACTTCTGTACATCAAGGCTAACATACCTTTGGAATAACCACTCTTAGAGAGCACATAATTTTATTAGCTATCCTGTAATTCAATCCCTGCCTTGCTTTTTCCCAGCTCCATGTAATCTTCTTTATCCTCTTAATTTCAAATGCATAAAAGAAGTTGCAAAACTGTTACTCTCTGAAGTATTTGAGATCTTGCTCCCTGGCATATGTCATCAGCGTGGCTCAAATAGACTCATAAAATTTCTCTGCAGGTTTGGACGTTTTTTATATTGACAAACCTGAGAGAAATTGTGTGTGTGTGTGTGTGTGTGTGAGAGAGAGAGAGAGAGAGAGAGAGAGAGAGAGAGAGAGAGAGAGAGAGAGAGAGACTGACTTTATTACTTCAGCCACAGCCCACTGAGGCAACAGCTATGAAACGTCTCAGGAAGACCTTGTTCAAGACCTAAGGTGTCCCAGTCTTTCCAGAAAGATCTGAAAGTTGTAAACCTCAGCATTGTTTTTAGGTAACAGGAAGCCTCTTTTCAGCTGAACTTTTTCACGAAATTCAAGGTAGGCTTTCTTTGTAGGTTATTGGCTTTGCCTTAGAGGGATTTTCCTACCCCACCCTCCTCTAGGGGTTTTCAGGAAGGACATGGGCTCAATAACAGAGGAGATGGTAGTTCAGATGGTAGTTAGCTTAGGACAGTTCTGTAAGTAGGAGCATACCCCCAGGAAATACGTGGGAGTACCAAGGGTGGTTGTAACTACCTGAGACCTGGTAAGCTGGATCTGGGGACAGGTGGTAACAAGAAATTCGCTTAGCAGGGGGAGGAAGCATAGAATCTGGGGTCCATAAAGCAGGCTTTGACTTTCCAGATCTTCCAGTTACCACCTTATTAGATGGGTAATTTTAGTTTTGTTTGCTAAATTCTCTGAGCTCTATTTTTTGTTAATGATGAACTGTATTGTTAGAAATTCTAGAAATAATAGATGCAAAGTGTCCAGTGTGTAGCAGCTTCTAAAAAAAAAAAAAGGAATCATGAGAAGACAGCCTGGCTCAACCTTTACTACTCTAAGGAACTGCCTTCGGTGGGGCACAGACAATATTTGCCTCCATGCAATCCTCTTGTAAATGCATTATGGCTGACCACCCCTGCTCTCTCCCCTAATATGTTCATACTTTTAATCAAGTTACAGCTAAGTGTTACTGGTCAGAGTCACTGTGTATATATATTGGGTTGTCAGAAAAGTCATGACGTATTTTTTCTATGTTTTTTTGTGGCAAAAATGCATCATAACTTTTCCAACAACCCAATATGTGTGCTTGGGGCATTATATTTGTGTATTATACTGCTCACAAGGCAGTCTACTTGGGGAGTAAACTTTTGCTGGGGAGCCACCATCATCATGGGACAGGAGGAAACATAGGAATCAAGTGAGTCAAGTAGGATGCTCAAGGTCACCCTGCCAGTGTCTCAGGCTCAGGCCCAGATCTTATGTATTTATGAAGATGGGAGGTGAATGTCCATATGGATATTATCTAATCCAACCCCATGACCTCACAGAAGAACACCCTGTGGGCCAGAAGCAGATAGGGTTCAGAAAAGAACTCTCCTTCCTCATTATTTATGCCTAGAAATTCACGACATCACTTGTGCCCCTTGAAAACAAGAAGGTTTTCACTATGTAACCAGAACTTTAATATTAGTAAGAACTTTCTTTTATGCTGTCCAA